TAAGTTACGTGACGTTCGTAGCTGACAAGCTAGCTAACGTAACATCTGAACCTGCTTGTACAAAAGAAGTTATGCAACATCAGGCATAGCGTACAGATCTCAAGATGGATTATTCTTATTTTCTGTTAATGTTCATGCAACAAATAGCCATGTGATCGGTGGAAACCTGTGAAATCTCCAATGAAATAGTTCTCAAAATAATATAGTAAATTGAAATACCGGTAAGTTGGGGGAAAAACTGAGATCAAAACATTTTCTTTCCATATCAACGGATTCAAGAATGAAAGCCTCGAGAGAGGAAAGTGCAATATAGACTCACCTTCAGTTCCACTTTTAGATGAATGTTAACGTCTCACAATACTTTCCTTATTACTATAGATGCGTTCAGGTCAGCGGCAAAATCACTTTCATAAAACGATATTACCGTACATATTGCATCTGGCCTGACTTGTGACCAGGTATATCAACAGCATTCCTGTTTATATATATCAGACCAACACATTTCAGTTATAATAGGGCCATATGGTCTGTTATAGCTGACACCTGTGGTTGAGAGTTTCCTGGCAACAGATGGTCTTAAAATAATGAGATTCACCTATTCTGCACCAAAACCAAAAAGCAAATTTGAAATAAAGAATCACATATTGACATGACTTTCTGACTTTGAGCCCTCTTTTTAGTAATTTGTCTTTTTATATGCTCCCAGGCATTGTAGTTTGTTTTTAAGGGCAATATTTGGCCTTTAATATACGGTATGCTAGCTACGATAGTCAAAAAAAAAAGAGCTAATTACAATTTTCTCTCCTTGTCGGGATAATAACTTTTTTACTATATTTTGTCAGCCAAGTAGGGTTTCCTGAGCCAAAGCCCCTGAAGGCAACGTGGTGAAGTGATGTTCACTGAACTGTGAGTGTCTAGCTTGAATAGTTTTTGAAATGCATACCAGGCATCTATCATAACCCAGTGATCAAACACAGAAATCAGCTTTTATCAGAAATCCTAATGACAAAAAGCATATTTTGAAAGTCAATCACTTTGCAAGACAGAAAAACTGGCACTCAAGAGTCCTTTACATTATTTCTTGACTCTGCCACTTGTACACGTAAAGAAAACTCCGTACAAGAAATCTGCCCTTCATATTTGAACCATGACATTGTATATGCATCAAAAACTCATGTAATAGACGTCAATATAGTTCAAGTCAGCCTTTATTTTTCTGTCATGCAAGGAAATACAGAAGCCCCAATGTCTTCAGACTCCAGCTTTCATCTGGTTGTTGGGTGGTAGTGCCTTTCCCAGGTGGGTCCCAACCGTCAGTCCATACTCCTCGGTGGCATTTTTCTCATGGACCTCAGGCTTCAGCTGGAAACCCTTCTCCCCATCAAAGCAGTCCATGGGAGTGAAGGAAAGTGGTTTTTCGCCCAGGACACCTTGCAGTCAGGTACGCCAGCCCTCCAGCATGGTGCTGCGCTCCTCAGAGGGAATGTGAGACGGAGCCCAGAAGATCTGAGGGGCCAGAACCTGGAAGCCACAGTGCAGGATGCCATTCTGGATAGAGAAACAGTGTTAAACATGAGCGTCGTCCAATTGGGGGTTACAGATTGAAACCTGTAGAATCTGTGTTAGATTTGTTCCTTCTGGGCTACAGTAGAAACAAAGCAAACTCTAAGGCCCAACTCCCTCTTTAGATATGAATTTCTCATTCTACCCTAGCCAAAACAATTTAGTTTTAGGTTATTATAGACTGATAAAACATCAGGATTAATATATATGCCATTAAACTCCCAAATCCTACACTCTGGATCTTTAATGCTTAGTTGAAGCAATATTCTGATTCAGTACCTGTAGTGGCCACAGTGTGACATTCATGTCTCCATTAATACCATCTGCACTAAACATGGACTCATGAGACCCAGTGGTGAAGGACAGCATTGCTTTCTTGTCCTGTGCAGAAAAAAAAGCAAGTTAGAAAAATAGATGCAACAGTTTCAGACTAGTAATGCAAACCGCTTGATTTGAGCCTTTACCTTGAAGATTCCCTGGCTGTATCTCTTTTCTTGAGAGTAGGCATAGCCCAGTGTGAGCACCCGGGTCGATCCAGCCCTTCATGATGGCAGGAACAGTGAACCAGTACATGGGGAACTGAGAAGTAAGGCAAAGTGTTAGCTTTGAGCTAAGTGAAGCTTAACAAGCATTACTGTCACCAAGCCCCTACCTGAAAGATGATGAGGTCCGCCTCAGTGAGTTTGTGTTGTTCCTCAGTGATGTCAGCACACAGTTTTGCTTCCTCCCATGCCAGTTTGGTCTCCTCTGCATAACGGAAGTGATCGGCATTCTTGACTTCTCCTGCCGAGACAAATTATTTCATTTAATTCCGAAGTTCAATATAAAGCTAAACTTCTTCTAATGCCAGGGAGATATTGATATACAGGTGATGTCCTCAGCGGTAGCAGTGGCTTTAAACTTCATGGTGTACAGGTCCGATACTGCCACTGTGCAGCCCTGACCTGCTAAAACTTCCACAGCAGCATCTTTGGCTGCAGCGTTGAATGAGCCAGTGCTCTGGTGGTATCATACACGATAAACACTTTCTTCGCGGCTAAACCAAGGATTAGAGATTGGAAATGAGCACACATCAGATCAGAAATCTCACAAGTGAAACACATCTTCTCTGTTGTCTAGGAGATCTTGGATGTTGCTTCCTGTGTCACAGCCATCGATACCTGAGTAAAATAAACTTGGAGACTTAGTAATTATTAGTTTACCTTTGTCTGATAAAGACACCTAGACTTTATAAAGAAAAATACACAACAGAATAACAACCATTCACTGATAACTTACCTCTGGTTTCTGCATCTAGCATCAATTATTACTCAAAAGGAAAATCCATAAATCAGAATCAGAGTCAGAATCAGAACCGTTTATTGCCATGGCATGTTGAAGATACAAGGAATTTGACATGAGGGGAGGTGCATAACATTTAACAATCAACACAGTGCAAAGTAGAAACATATTCAAATTTACAGAAAAATATAAAATAAAGTGAAATATAAAATAAAGTGCACAAACGAACAGATAACGGGACTATAAACAAGTGAGATGTAAGTGTAGTGTAGAAGTGTTGTTGATGAGCCCGACTGCGGATAGGAAGAAACTGTTCATGTGGCGTGAGGTCTTGGTCCTGATGGACCTCAGCCTCCTGCCAGATGGAAGGGGCATGAACAGTTTTTGTCCAGGGTGAGAGGGGTCGGCTACAATCTTTCTTGCTCGCTTCAGGGTCCACGATAGTAGTGATCCAGTAGTTCAGTTCTCCAAAAGATTCGTATCAAGTAGCTTTTCTCCAGAAGTTAAAAACTCAAAGAGTCGGCTCTCCACGGTATGGATGTCCAAGAGGTGTTCAGCTCAAGAGGTGATCCGCTCAAGAAGTGTTCCGCTCGTGTTCAGGTCCAAGTGCAGAGTGAGGATCAGAAAGTTCTGAGGCCTTAAGTAACCCCAGTCGGGTCTGTTTCCATGGCATTTAGGGACGCGCGGGTGTGTCATTGCGTGGATGTGATTGGTCAAGACAGAAAGAGAGAAATATGAATTATTTTCTCTTATATATAATGGATGGTGGAGCCTTGCCAACGTTACCCACTGCATGTGCACAAACCTCTCACTAGTAAAATTGATTTTCAGTCTTGCTCAGCTACTGATTTTCTGCTTTATTATGTCCTTGAACCTGTTTGTGGGAGTGTTTTGATAGTTCCCTGCTTTTCATAGAAGGCAAGACTTATTTTGTAATGTTAAACTGCTTTATTCAGGTCTTTTATGTTGCATGTATACTTGTTTCAAGCTACGTTAGCTAGGCACCGAATGCTAACGATTATTTGGGGACGTTAGCAACAACATGCAAGCAGTTTATGTGCAGCAATACTATACATTCACGATACAACACTGAAATAGTTTTGAATTTATTAAAAATAATGTATTTTTGCAGTTACCTTTGAAAATATTTTTTTGCAACACATTTCACCTAGAATCAAACTACTTGCGGAGTGCTTTGTTAGCTAACGTTAACTGTAATGTTAGAAACATTAGTTAGCTCGATTCATTTTAAATTCTGTTTTTTTTTTACTATTTTTAGTTTTGTATTTTTTTTTTGCATAATATGTTTTTAATTTACAATATTGAACTGCTTTGTCCCCAATCCTTGTTGAGAATGCACACTATATAGCTACATACTTGTAACTTTAGCATCATGCTAGTTAGCAGTCACAGCTAACGTTAGTGTGTTACAGCCAATGCACAGTATAAGCTATTTAGCTGTGCTGTTAAGTTAGTAGTTGCAGTTGTATTGTAATGTTGAGATACCACAGGTGTTTTTACTTATTGGTAATGTAATGTTATATTTGTAGCAATATGCTAGCAGTAGAGTTACATTGCAAAAGGCTATGGTGACAGTAAATTAGTTGTGAGTGGCAGTATTCTTACAATCATTTGTTTTCAATTTAATTTAAATATTCTCATTTGTTAAGAAAATCACAGTAGACATTAGCCTACTAATGCCAACCTATTTTTCATTTGTTTCTTGTGTTTCAGGTGAACAAAGTCCCAATTTTCAATCTGCTACTACTGCCTCAACTTTGCCGTTAACGTAACATACAGAAGACGCTTAAAATATCTATTAGAGGGCCACAGCTGCCGGCTTGCAATGTCATTGCAGTGATAGTATTTTCAGATATCTGACCACCTGAACACAATTAGGAGGCCAACGTCAGCCTCTACATTTGACCTACAAATTAAATATCCGTCCCACACTAACCCCCCCCCCCCCTGCCAGGCGTTGCACCATCTCACATGTTCTACTGACCTCAGGTCGGCTAAAAATGACGAGGGGGGCGGGAGCCTTGCTGGTGAGTGGGCAGACGGATAGCCTCGCAGCTGTCATTGTGAGGCCTGTTGGGGCTCTGACTGTCATTTCCCCGCCTCGGACTGGCAGACGTAGAGGGAGATAATGAGTGGGGCGGTTTAACTCGTGGGACGAGGAGGAGGAGGAGGGGGGGCGGCACTGTGCAACTTGTTGGACGGGACTTGATGCTCGCATTCAAACAGAAGCCAAGGAAAGAACTGATCTCGAAGGCCGCTGGGAATAAAGAGGACACTTCCTGAAGATTCGCCTTGTTCGGCAAGAGAAGTTGCACACAGGGAAGTGATTACAAAAGGCTGAAAAGTCAGAGAACAACAGGGGGGAAGAAAAGAGGCGAAAAGCAGGGCCGTCACTTCCAGGAGACGAGTCAAGGGAGCTGTTAATGCAACATGATCCACTGGGTCTTGCCCTAAAAATACCTCTGGGCAGGAAGAGTGGTAGCTGTCTCTATCTGCCTAATTACCTGGTAATCAACTATTTATTTTTCTGCTTCGGACAACAACGGAGGTCAAAGAACAGTGATTTGATGATAATTTATCCATGGCAGATCGTGTTTCTATATACTTTAATTCAGCCTTCCAAATAAAATAAACTTACTGAGTATCTTAAATTTAAAAAAATTTGATATAACTGTAGTTTATATGTAAAGCCTGCTCATAGACTCTAATGCGCTCACTGGATGTTGGTTTAGATTACTGAGTGAGGTCCCAGTCTGTGCTACAGGCGCACAGTCCACACACACACAGTCACAGAATCCATTGCAGGATCCACCGAATCGGTTCAACCATGAGAAAAGCCGAGGTGCAAATGACCCTGAAAAAGGGGGCAGATAAAGCAGCGGCCCCCCGTAGCCCCATCATCCCCCCGAAGCGGTCCAAAGTGAGTCCGGTGCAAATTGAACCTCCGGGACCCGGTTATGCCACCCAGTCTCCCCCGGTTTTTACGCGCAAGATGAGGAACGCCGCCGTGGGGACCGGCTGTGACATCCGTCTGAAGGTGACTGTGGCCGGAGACCCCCAGCCCTCCCTGTACTGGTACCACAACGACGAACTCCTCAACATGGAGAACCAGGAGTACGGAGGGCTCTGGATTAGGGACTGCAAGCCCAGTGACGCGGGCCTCTACACCTGCATTGCCAACAATCACGTGGGAGATGCTCGGAGCAGCGCGGTGCTGGCTGTTTTGGATCTCGGTGAAGGTAATACCACTATATACATTATATATGTAAACTTTAAAAAAATAAGCCTTAAATGGATTTGACTACAAAACCCATAGTTCCGCCTAACCCAGGGGTCTCAAACTCATTTTCACTCCGGGCCACATCAGCATCATGGTCGCCCACAAAGGGCCGGTTGTAAATGTAACTACTCGTAACATATTGTTAAATAACTCTCTGCATTTGATTATTGTTTATTCAAGTGTAAAAATATTGTACATGCAGTTATATAAATGTAAAATATATTTAAGCACATTTGTTATTATAACTTAAATCCTTTTAATTTAGGGTTAAGAAACCCACATTACTCTATCAAATATCAAACTATTAAAGAAAATAGCAAAGACAAATATCAAACACAAGTTATTACAATAACTTTGTTCAAAGCTTAAAATCCTTTCAAGGGTCTGTTTGCACAATCCCACATGAAGTATTCATGTGTTTTAAAGCCAGTTTAAAGTAGTCTTCAATGTACTCACAATACATTTCCATGTCAAATGTACAGTAACCAGCCAAAGAGCTGCTTCTGTGACTGTGTGTTTAAGTATTTCATAATTTTGACTTTCAATCTCATAATTTTGACTTTCAATCTCAGAATTATGACTTTCTATCATAGTTATGACTTTCTATCTCATAACTTCGACTTTCTATCTCATAATTTCGACTATGGGGATATTTTTGTTATCAAGTCTAACTTAAAAAAATAAAAAAATTATTTTTATTTTTTATTTTTTTGCTGGCGGATTCGCGGCCACATAAAATCCGGCCCGCGGGCCGGGAGTTTGAGACCCCTGCCCTTGATAATAATATAGATAGCCATCTATCTGATATCACGACGTAATCCAGTCTTCCAATGGACCTTTACATGTATTTAAGAATGTCAGTAATGTCATTGACATGCTGATAATGAGGTTTTAACTACAAAATAATTTATTGCTGGAGGCCAACGACCATGAAAATGACCCAGCATGCCACAGTCATCCAAAAGGTCCCCCCCCCCCCTGACTGACTGATCTCTCAACCAGGACACAAGCTACTACTTAAATATGACAATCACTGCATTTACATCCAAATGGGTCGAAGTGTTTATTTAGATTTGTATGGGGCTAAATGGTGTCTGTCATTATCTGGTACTTGGACAGGCTATGCGGATCATTAGCTTTATTTCGGAACTTTTTTAAAAAATATTTTATTTTGGTACAAGGCTACAAATAATAACATTATTTTTGACACTGCTCCAAAAAGAAAGGAAAGCGAGGAAAAGAAGATGCTAACATATACAGGGGTATAAATACACACAATCAAGAATACAACTGTATATTTACACACGTGTACACGTGTCGTGTTTTTAGATGTCACTATAAATCACTATAAATATATTTAATGTCACTCAAATGTTTCTTTGCTATATATAGCGAAACGTACCATTAGTTGCAGAGTTGCAATTATTGGAAAATATTACATGCAATTAATTAAAATCCCAAAACAAGTAAAGTTGCTGGGTTTAGTTTTCCCAAAAGTGTTTCCCAAAGCGTCTGGAGGGGGGTCACTGTGCAAAGGCATCAGTGTCAAAAATAACTAATTTGAAAAACTTGATTATTAAATTCTGAACAAACTGAATTTTTTCATTTTTTTTAGATTTTATATATCGTATGGTGTTATAGATATGTATCTAAAACGAGTCATTCATTCATCCCTCTATGGTGCAGAGAGGAGAGGAAGATGGTTGTTGTAACCAGATGCAAGATCATTTCTAAAAGAATGTCTTTCTAAATGTATTTTCAATTTCTTGAAAAAAAGAAGGAACGTTTTAAATGTTATGCTCTTGGAGATCCAAATTTGAGAACAACACATTATTTTGATGTTTTAATAAGGAATTGTGAGTGTCTCTCTTTGAGATTAGCACATGAAGAGAACGTTGATTCAAGGCGCTGAAAATATTTTATCCTTTTAAGCAACACGGGCTTTGGACAGATTCCGGCCAAAGCGAGTCTTTGAGAGGGTATCAGAGGGCCTGTTTACACTCCCGTTGTCATCAACAAAACGTCTTTCCATGCATTTTGTGGACCCCAGCACTGATCTAAAGTCAGCTGCCTTGAAAAAAAGACATAACCACCTCCACAAATATTCCCCTCATATATCAGTTTGAGCCCTCTGTCATTATTCCGCAGCGCGAGTGTGTGGAGGAAACTCACTCTTCCAATTGAGAGCCACCTTTCCCTGCTGACAGAGTATAAGTCGAGACTCATCGCTGCTGAATGCAGTTCAATCGGTTCAGCATGAGTAAAGTTTTGGCAAATGGTGGCGCGCTCGGCTCACACAAACGATCCCTGCTGGGTCCAAGCAGCAAGGTGCTTTGTGCAAGCTTGCTACAAAAACTGTGTCCTAAAAGAGGGGCGATGTCTGCATACTGGGCAATGTGATGACAAGGATTCCTTTTAGTGTGGGCCGCAACAAAACCACAGTGTATTATATTACCGTTACTGTATAAATATTGGGCGCTTGGACATTAGCCACATAAAACCTGCACCGTCAAATGTGAGTACTAGAAAAATCAACGACGTGGACGCCGCCTGCCTGAGGTTTACAAGAAAAAGATGCTGATGACAATCTCCATTTCATTGAGGTTTTCTTCTGAAATTCTATTGTTTTCAATTTGGCACAAATCAATAGGACTGACTTCATTATGGTGCAAAACAACAGATTAGAAAATCGAAGACAAGAAGCCTAAAATATAAATACGGTAATTATAGCAGTTTATTTTAGTCTATGTAGTCATTAATGCTATATATATAGTCTATATAGTCATCCATGCTCAGCATGGATCTTGGGCTTGACAAAACTTTATTTGATCCTTAATCGCAACTTCGTGTAGTTTACGGCAGAATCCACGTGTTGCTTTCCGTTTTCACAGATCACAGGGGGAGGCACTTTATTTTGAAATCCAGTCAAACAGAGAATTAAGATGAAAGGGCTGCTTCGCCACACCTGTGTGATACTGTATGATGGCAGTAATCAACAGGCAACAACACAGTCACCTAGATTCCCCTAGTTCTGTTTCAAGTAAGATCAATCTACCAGCTGGACGTTGTTAGCATTAGCATGCTATGAGGATTATACAAGCAGCTGTTTTCCGTTGTGGTCCACTCAAAATGATCTTAGATTTGATAGATTGTGTGATTTTTATGCAACACACGTGATGGAGCTATCGGCTTTCTTCAGTTCAAATTACGTCAAGAAGTTTTCCGTTGACTCTCCATTTTAACCTTCAGTTTGATTCAGCCCGTTTTTGCTTTGCCATGTACATAAAGTCTGCAGCTGTCCCATCACTCAATGAACCCTTTTCTCTCTCGCTCTCCCTCTCTCTCCTTTGAAAATATCTCTCTGTACCCCCCGCCCGCCCGCCCACCAACTCTCCATAGTTATTTATACAGTGGAATGTGCCAGGCCTTAGATTTTTGTGATGTTAGCCAGCCAACATCTCTCCTATTACACAGGAAGACATCACTGCTAATTTTAGCCGGCCCTCTACTGATCAAGGAACGGGCCATTTTCCACTTCTACTAAATACGCACAAGCATAAAGATGTCTGCCATATGTTGTGATGTCATGCATACATATATATATATATACTGTTTTTACGGAATAATGTATCTAGTATCCTTTTAGTTCTGCATTTGGTTCTGCAGTCAATTTTAGGGTTGGTCAAATATCTTCAAAGCTGCATTTAATTAGGCAACTTGAGGGCAGTGAAAGAAGTTGTAAACACAACATGGAAATTAGATTTAGAAATATTAGTGAATAGACAGAGCAATATTAGCATTCACTGTTTTGGTCTCCACCAACTCCTGAGAAAAATATCTGGCACTTTAAATGCTCCACTATCCTCACCTGTTAGCCGCTAACTTTGTCTGCCTTTTGTTGCTATACAGTTAGCGTACAGTTCGTTATTCAGAGCTTTTTAGCTGAAAAACAAATATGATGAGACCAAAAACAATGACCAGTAAGGCTCCATAGAAATGAGGGGAACTGCAGGATTGGGTGCTAATTATCTGAAGGTTTTGTTCACTCCAAATGAACCTTGATCATTATAAAAGACCGATCGTATGAAAGCATTGATTAGTGCGGCTTTAAACCTACGTTGACAAATTCTCGGCCACTCGGGGGCAGCAGAAACAAACTGTGAGCAAAAAAAACTGAGATATTAGCAACTTTAAAGTTGCCACAGTGGCAAACAGATGCCTATTTACATATCCGGGTGATACAGAGCAACGTAATCTTTCCTTTAGAGTCGTGTTCTTGGAGGCTGAAGAGGGTGGTGAGACTGAACTGCAGGCAAGTTCAGTTTACTGTAAGCAGTAAAACCAAAAGACGAAGCTAAAAGACGCTAAAAGCTGCACAGAGCTGACAATAACAGTTCAGTAAGTGACTGAACTATATTATATATAAAGCTTGCAGAGTAATATACTGTTCGGAGAGACCTCATACTGGGAGCTTTAGACGTCACCACTGAGCATGGCCATGGCCCCCTTCCAGTGTGTTTGGATAGTTTCCTCATGTTGTCTTCCTCCTGGACCATTAATGTGAGTGAACAGGTGGAGCTGCAGTTACACTGTGGAAATCCCCCCCTTCGCCATGTTGCTTTAATAAGTAGCTATAAAAGTAGATCAACAAATGTTGTTTGATGACAAGGAATCCTGAGAGTGTTCAGTGGAATATGATATAGGAGGAGTAACCGTTCAGGACATGGCTATGAGTAAATACTGAAATCTGTCTCTGGTTATGAATTATTAAGCCTCTCTGAGTTCAGCCATTCACAGTGTGGGTTGAAAAGTAGGTTAACTGATCTCATACACCATTAGGACTGATACATACTGTATGTGCACTTATTTTGTGGAGTTGAATGTTAACACTTGGTCGTGTTTCATTTAGTCAAACATGTGCAGTCACAGTATAATCGGTGCTGATACAACTACATTGAA